TTGCTGTCTATGGGAGGGTCAGAGAGCCCTCAGATTTAATCAATAATATCTTAAATTGTGTTCCGAAGATGAACGAAGGTCTTACGGGTTTGGAACGACACGAGGGTGAGTAATTAATGACAGAATTTTCATTTTTGGGTGAACTAACCCTTTAAATGAATATTGTCCTTAATTCTTTTATACAATCCTTCATACTTGAAATTAAATCTCTTGATATTTTCTGATCTCAGTCAAGATGTATTATCAAAACAATCTCGGCAACCCTGAGCTGGATACACACATAAAATGTCCTTCAAATATAAAAATACTTTTAATAAATGTACTTTATGCTTAACTAAATGGGTTCCAGAAGTAAAATGGATGAGTGTTTTCTACCGCATGATTTGAAGTTGTCTTAGTTTAAGACGGATCTGTAATTAAAGTCACCACACAGCATCAGTTTAGCCCTCCGACAGCTGTCTCGAGCGAAAGGGATGTGATGATGTGGATGGAGCTTGATTCAACTGGAAAACCAAATGGAAACATTCGTTGTTGTTTTTTTGTGCGCGTGCTGTAACAGAATGGAAAGATGTAACATGAGAGGGCTGAATTAGTCCTCAGACAGCACAAAGACAAAGAGCCTTTTTAGGTTTCCTGCAGCCGCTCACGAAAACGCTGAGTTTCAATCCATATGGAAAGTTAATATGCAGTAATAAAGTCACCACACAGCATCAGTTTAGCCCACCGACAGCTGTCTCGAGCGAAAGGGATGTGATGATGTGAGAACGTGAGGATGGAGCTTGATTCAACTGGAAAACCAAATGGAAACATTCATTGTTGTTTTATTGCGCGCGTGCTGTAACAGAATGGAAAGATGTAACATGAGAGGGCTGAATTAGTCCTCAGACAGCACAAAGACAAAGAGCCTTTTTAGGTTTCCTGCAGCCGCTCACGAAAACGCTGAGTTTCAATCCATATGGAAAGTTAATATGCAGTAATGTTTAATGTCAGCACATGTTGTGGAATTACTTTGGCATCTGTTCGGCTTCTCCGGGAGACTCCAACGGCGCTAGCCAGAAAGAATGCCTGACTGGCTGGAGGTTATTGACATGGGGCAGACTCTCTCTCCGGGGGATGAGAGAAGTGCTCTCCTGACGGGCCTCCTCATCCTGAAGTTTCCAGAAACTCAACACGAGCTGACGTTTGTGTCACTTTCGTTATGAAACTGTCAACAGAGTCAACAAAGCTGTCACGTCCCATTATTATAACAGTTGGCTGAGCCGGTATTAAAGCCCTATGGTAAGGTAGCGTTTCACACATCGTTTATGCGCGCTGGGGCCGTGACACAAGATGCCTCATCTGTGAATCGTGAAGACTCATGGGTTCGGCCTGTTCGGACACATGAAGGGAATCGGCCCAGACCGTTTGAGTTTGACGCGTCAGGTTGGTGAGCATTCTTTCTCCAGCAGGTCGTGTTGTCTGTCGTTTTCCTGGTGTGTTTCCTCCACCGTTTATTTTTAAATGATATTCTGCTGCTCTGGCCTCCATCCACGCACACTTCTTTCCACCCGAAACTTTCCTTTTTCTTTGTGCATGTGACATTTTGCAACGTCCTCATTATTCAGCTGGCCTGTCAAGTAGAATTAAGAACAGTAGTGCATGGAAAAAGATGATCAAGATTTCTACAGGGAAAATCTGCTCTTATAGACGATTATAAAGCAGACACTGTGGATCTTCATCGCCTTGTTGATGAAGAATAGTGATAAATGTTCTAGTTTAAAAAACTCTACAATACATTCTTAAAAATAAAGGTTCCGAATAGACCCACATTTTCTGTTTCTTGCTAAAAAAACTCATATTCTGATGCTTAAAACACGTAAAATACTGATCTGAAGAACCTATAATGTACTGTAACATCAAGAACTTTTTAAATCTCCAAAGAACGACAAAGTTTCAAGTGACCTTTACTTTTAAGTGTGGTAAACACTATTGTACACGCTTAAAAATAAAGGTTCTTTATTGGCATTGATGATTCCATGAAAAACCTTTA